AGAGAATTTATATTTGATTTATTATTAAAATATAAAAATTCAAATAATTATGCTCATATCCTTAATTAATATTATTAAAAACATATTTTATCATTTCATAATCCACTTACATTAATCACATTTACTTTCATTTTTTAAGGAAAAAAAAATAGTTTTAGAGAGGGATTGAAATAGACGTATAACTAGCTCTAGATAAGTCTTGCATGAAAATTTAATTTTATTATTTTTGTGTAAAAAAATTGTCTTTTACTTGATTTAATTTCTATAGAAACTCAAATCTATGATGATTTAAATTTTTTACTATATAAGTTTCGACATGTAAAAAAATTTAAATTTTTGTTAGATATTCTATATAGTTTATTACATTATATATTTTACATAGTATGTTAAACTTGAAAAAAATATTTAGTGTGTGTGTGTGTGTGTGTGTGTGTGTGTGTGTGTGTGTGTGTGTGTGTGTGTGTGTGTGTGTGTGTGTGTGTGTGTGTGTGTGTGCGTGCGCGTGCGTGCGCATAAATGAGAGGTAGGGAAAAAGTGTAGATGGTTATATTTTATGTGCATTTTTATTTTTATGTATGATACACCTGAATAGATATGAATAAATAAATTAAAGTAGTAATAGGAGGTTAAGAGAAAAGTATGAAATATTTTAAATAAAAAGATAAAAAATTATTTTCTATTATTTAATTTTTTTTTTTGGATATTAAAATTGATTATATTATTATTCTTGACACCAACTTTTTTACTAATATTATACATGATCGATACTACACATGCTAAAAGCAATTCTTGACACCAACTTTTTTACTAACATCATACATGATCGATACTACACATGCTAAAAGCAATTCTTAATTTTCATTGATATTCTATCAACATATGTATTGTTTCCCTCATTTATTTATTAAAAACTATAGCAAAATTAAGTGGCTTACTAATCGTTATTCGTCATACATATTTATAATTTGTCTGTTATTTTAAGGAGGATTAAGACTTAGGTTGAGTAGAGATTTTTTGTCATTTGTTGTTATAAACTGGATTTCTTGACAATTATAGTGATAAGTATAGCATGACGACTATATATACTTTCTTTTATCATATAGTTTGTGATATGAATGGAAAAGTATTGATGTTTGAAGTTATTATCTATTGAATGATATATACTTGACTTTGGGTTTATGAATACTACAAAAAAACTTTGTTTATGAAGAAGTTGAAGTATTAATTAACTTCTATAATCTTGACATGCATGATGTGACCCACTTTGACATGATAATTTGCATTCGGCCAGGTCATGATACTTAGTTTACATGTATCGAGCTCATTTACACATTTTCAACTTCATTGTGTTTGTTCATGACATGAATAGAAATTTTACACTGTTTTCTTGCTTAATCCTTTTTGTCTTCCCTTTGTTAATGTCTGAAGGGTTTTACAAAATGTCTTAGTGCCGAGAGAATATTATACGTTTTGTCATGATGCATCTGAACTTCATGAACAACGAAATTGTACACGTTATACAACAATCTCGTTATATATAAAGCCCGAACGCATTCGGTTAGTAATTATTTTCTTATCTGGCTATAATCTTTCCTATCTGATAATGATTGTGTTGAAAACTACTCCATAACTAATGAAACCGACTTCTGAGTTTAACATGCATGCAGCCACCTTATTTTAATTTTTTAAGCATTTTTTCATGATTTTAAAAAGTAATGATCTCCGACTGATATTCTAATTTCGAGGAAAATGGATTAAATAGAAATCGGCGTGGAAGAGCTTTAGGCTGTCAATTTGGATTGTTGTTCGCGAACAACTCGTGTTCGGCTCGTTCGCTAAGCCTAACGAGTCGAACACGAACAAATTTTTAAGCTCGAAATGTAAACGAGCCGAACTCGAACAACAGTTTGTTCACTTGTGTTCGGCTCGAATTGGCTCGAAAATAAATAAATTAATAATTAATAAATAAATACATAACAAATATTTATAATATTAAATATTAAATTATAATTAATTAATTTTTTTAATTAGCATATGTTGTAAAATTAAATTCTATTATAATATGTTACAAATTAATAATAATAATATATTTGTATTACTTATTAAATATTATATATTTATATAATAATATAATATAAGTTATATAATTATAATATATTATATATCATATAATCTAAAAAAACCCTGACCAGCCTCCCCAATCTCCATTCGCCTCTCGAAACTTCTCGGGTTCGGCTGCCTCTCCCGTCTAGGGTTCTACTCTTCTCGTCTTCTCTCGCGACGACTTAGGGTTTGCCATCTTTGTTCTTCTGCTAATATCTACTTCTATTCTCCTCTGATAGTCAATGTTGGCCCGATTGCTTGGTGTTCTTGCGTGGTTTGTCGATATTCTTGCTTCGTTCATTGGTTGCTTGTTTGGTTACCTAGGTGTTATCTCTGAGTATATTTTCTCTAATATTTCCTATTTATTTTTGGATTCGCCTCTTATCTTAAATTTTCTTAAATTTCTTTTAATTTATGTAGATTTTTTGAATGAAACCTAGCTTTGTAGGGTTTTGGCAGCGAAATCTCGCATATTGCATTTATATATGTATTTTTTTTTTATTGGATGAGATCTGATATAAGAGAGTGTTTAGGGCATGCATCTTTGTGAAGCTTGGTTTTTATATCTAAATGTGTAATCCCACGCTTTCTCAGAATGAAATGGTATTATTGTAAATAGGAAATGTTTGAAGGTTGGTTTTATAAATAATAAAGACTTGGGTGATAAACAAATAATTGCCCCATTCATTTTTCACTTTTAAAAAATTAGCCTAGTGACCTACTGAATTGGCTACGTTTGTATTTATATATATTTTATGACTAGGCCAACTGAATAAAATGGTTGGTGATGAATTTGTAGTTATATCATAAACTGTTATGACAGTTTTTATGCCTTATACATGTTATATTTCACTTGTCTTCTCTACGGTTGAAAAATTACTTAAGGATTGAGAATATAGTTAGATGGTTGGACTGTGAGGAATGTAAATGTAGTTGATTTAGTTTCTAAAATTGTAACACAATGAATATCTTTTGTGAAATGTGCCAAAATGATCTGTTGACTATTTTGCAGGGGTCCATTTAGTCGCGAACTTTACTAAGTGCTACCAAGGCTCATAACATGAATATTTTATTAACATCCATAGAAAAATTATTAGTATGAGCCAAATCTAACACATTAGCTTTTCTAGATGGAGGGAGAGTTTTCAAATCTACTATATGTTGTTTACTAGCTAAAGAATGAATCTGCTCTTATTTTTCTATATTTTCATATATCCATTGTAAGCTTCAGGTTAGCAAT